GATAATATGTGACTGGATTGACCCATCTTGAGAATACTGCATGGATCTACAGTAATGTGTTTATCAGTATTCTCAAATCGACCTTGCTATAACTATCCTCAGACTTGAAGTTATTACATTCTCTGATATGTGGGGCCGTATGCTTTGATTCATAACTAATGCTATCTGAAATACTGGTAGACGTACAGTTATGCGTTGGGTATGCCGCTAAGCATATTTAGAGATGTGAATAACAGATACAGGATCTGTCCCTTCTACTGTATAGAAGTATAATGTCAATGGGCCCACTGAATAGTAGGACTTGGGAAAGTGCATGGCCATGCCCAGATATGTCGCTATCTAGAGACTGATAAATATCTGATCCCTGCCAGTCTACCTGAGATTCAGTAACAGCTGATTTAACTATACAAGGATACACATCCCATGCCTTGTGTTAAATCATGACATTTAGGACAGAAGGATAATAGTTATAGAACGTCTTGTGTCGTAGAAGGTATTGATGAGATGAACGTTTTTTTCATAATCTGGGGGTAATAATGTGTTGCTAGATACCGCTTATTATCTATGGTATTAATTTTATTAATATCATTGCCAGTGTTATGGATATCTAAAGGGTCACACACTTAGGACTTGTAAGGGAGTACGTAGTATACTACACTAGTGGGAGTAATATTAAATATATAGTTGTGATAATTTTATATATATATGTATTTCGAAAATACATATGTATTTTAAAATTATATTTTGTTTTTGTCATTTTAATTATATGATAATTATATTTTGACAAAACAAATTTTATTATATATATATATATATATATGTAGCGCCGATATATATATATATATATGTGTGTGTGTGTGTGTGTGTGTGTGTATGTGTATGTATGTATTACTTTTATTTTCATCATTATTATATGATAATTATTGATGTAAAAATAAAATGTAATGTATTTTAAAATGCTATGGTCGAAATTCTAAGGGGAAAAATACAAAACATATTTTGATATTCCACCTAATGATATATTTGATTTTATAATCAAATATTTGATTAACAAAATATATATACTTGTCTTGTTGTGTTGGTTGGGAACAATGAATTAAGCCTAATTTGTTTTTGTCCCTAAGCAATTTCCTAGCATTTCCTTAATACATTGTATTATAAAGTGTGAGTATCCCTCCCCATTTTTGGTGTGTGATATTCGGCCATCACAAGGAAGAGAGAAGAAAAATCCTATTTTGTGTTCAAAGTTATTTTCTAAAGTGTTAGAAATATATACACAAAATATTATAAAGAAATATTTATAAGATAAATATTTTACTATATATTTATTACTCCCAAAGTAGTATTATTATAGTTTTTACTATCCTATATTAAACTTGCTAGCACAAGTTTAATCT